CGGGTGCTTGCCACACCAAGTCGAACCAATTAAAAAACATTTTCCATGAGGAAATTGCAGCCACTGCCCCAAAATAAACGTTTCGCTTTCGATTAAATAATATGAACAGAGCTGGTCCGGGCATAATTGAAAAGCGATTTTCTAGTTTCTAGTTTATCCGTGCTGTGCGTAGACATTGTCAATAGAGTTGATGCAGTGATCACGACAGCGTTCGTGTCACGCTCTCCTCTCTGACAATTATCTGGAACCCGGGGAAAACTTTTGGGTTCCGAAATCTGCATGTGAGTGGCCAACTGAAGTTGTCGGGCTGCTGTCTCGGACCTATGGATATTGGTAACACGCTCGTTGTTATGTCGACTCGATTTAGTTTCAGCTTTATTACATTTTTCCTTTCCTTTGGACAAGTGAGCCGAGTTCCTTGCGGCTATCGGGTAACCAACATCGAAACCCGAAAGACTTGAGCAACAAAACTCGTCAGGTGGGGGTTGTGTCGTCCACATGGACATGCAGATGCCCGAGCGGTATGGTACGAGTAAATCCAGGGCGGGGCAGGGGACATAGTTTTACAAACATATTTTGAATTAATTTCGAGAAAACCGCTACTCATTGCGCCAATGCCGCAGCAACACAAAGTGGCTGGATCAGACGAGCAGCTCTTTAAATTGTAATCAACAGAGAGTCAAAATCAGTTGCCACGGATATAGCCATCAAATTGTGTGACATTTGGAAATGTCGTCGTCGCATAAATTGCAATTCTCAATCGACAATCGAGAGGCTTCCCCGCCTGAATGCCAGGCCAGCTACAAAAGTCCCATAAATTGTGCAAGCCTAACACTTTGACGCGGCTGTCCGAAGCTAATGCAAATCAAATCAGCGGTCAGTCAACTATTTAAATATAGAATTTCCATCCAAGAAGATCGACTATCGCACAGATACACACACCACCACCACCGAACACTCTGTGTAAATATCAAGGCTGACAATTAGCTGGGAAGGTGAGAAGCCTCTAAGCCGAAGAAGCTCTCTTAAGACGGGTAAAAACTCGTTTGGCACTTTGGACACGAATGTTGTTTAATGATGACGGCTGCGATGCTGTCTAATAGAGTTGGCCAAATCGCTGCAAGTCGTTTCCAAATGTCGCCTTACGAGTAGCTACTAGCTACCCAACAATTCCACCTGTTGTCCCTATAGATGCCACGATGTTTACGCAAATGGCAATGTTTATATTGATATTTCAATCGTTGGCAATCGTTGGTGGCCAAATGCCAAATGGTTTAAAAAAGGGCAGGACATGTCTCATGGGAGTGGAGCTGAGGTTGTGTCTGCAGCAGCTCGAGAAAGCGTTAGACCACCCTGCAGAATAAAACTGCACTCTCCATTCAGGCAGAAAGTGTAAAATCATCTTCCCATTAAAGTCAAATTCAAACTTCAATCACAGAAGATATTTTTACCATTAATAGAAAGATGCTAGATATGCAGTGGAGTGTATACTGGCCATTGCATAAGCTCTCTAGGCCACCTGGCCGAAGTGCTTTTCAGGGCCAAACTTTTCTGAGCACAGTGTAATTATCAGACAAAAGTCATACATCAGATACTAGTCATACATCGCAAGCATCATCGCATTCATCAGCCACACGCATCGCAATTAGCATTAATCAAGTTGTGTTACAAAAAACAGATGCATTATTTACTCGAGTTACTGCATACCATGAAAAACCAAGAAGAGTGAAACAAAAGTACGAGGGATTGTGTGCCACAAAGGTTTGAATTACAGTTTGGCTGGCCGACGTTTCTAGGAGCGCGAGGTGAAAATGTACTCCACTCCTTTAATTGCCAAAAATAATTACTCAAGAGCCAAGCCACCGAAATGATTGTCATTTGTGTTTCGGAACAAGCCATTTGAGGGACTCCACTCTTTCCAGTGTGCTATGTGCTGACCATGAAACTACGAGGAATATTCGCTTGTAAACATTTCTGTTTTGTTTTTGGCTATTTTCGCTGGCACACTCTTTGGGGATTTTGAGTCAATGTCAGCATTGATTAGGTCGAAATTGGCTACATTACCTCGACTGGCATTGGCAGAGGGTGGCACAGACTATGGACACGGTAAGTGAATCAAGTTGATGTTCAAGTCCAGGTCCAGGTCAGCTAAGGGCATTCACGGCGACCTTCAACTCATCCATTAAGACGATGAATACCTTTGGTTGATGCATCATTTATAGTCACGAATTGTGGGAATTGTTTGGATTGAAGTTTATAAAGAATCTGAGACTGGCTTCAGCCCAATCTTGGTCCCTTCATAGTGTTCACTGTATATCAAACAGATTACCTCTCGATTAATTTGGATTGTCTGTAATTACCTTCTGGAATTGTGAGCTAGGTATTCCAATAGTACCCATAACAACAAGTGCGTATAACACTCGGCAAAGATGTAATTAAATTAAATCCTTCAGACCAACCGCTACAAGAGCTTTGAGCTGAATGCCAGTTCGTGTCTTAAGTCTATCGTACAGTGGTTGCGCTGGATGTGTACAATTGATTGATTGATTGATTGATTGATTGATTGATTGATTACCTATACCTTAGATTATCCTTCATTCTATTGCATAAGTAGATAGATGCTGGAGTTGCTTGTGGAGGTCTGGAAACATCCCAGTTCAAAAGGGCAACAGATTCTGTCAGGTCTCGCCTGCACTCTTGTAGTTGAAAAACGTTGCACAAAATATTTTAAATATTTCTTTTGAGTTTTGTCACAGATAACAATTTTCTTAAGTAAGACGCACATTTTTTAGTCCATAACTCTTTTGGTTGGCTTAATTAAACGCCCATAAACGTTCGAGTAGGTGAGTGAATTGGGCAGCACTGCAGCATGTTTATTTGTCGGCATTGTTTGAATAGACGTCTGTCCGACAGCGAACAAACGAGCGAACCAACAGAAATATTACGCAATTTCGCTGCCTTAGACATCTTCTGACGATTTCTCGTTAATTACAAGCCGGCAACGGCATCTTGATAGTTTTGAGGCCCGTCCGTTTAAGGTCAACGCGAAGCCGGAAGACGGGGTCTGGCTCTGGCTATGGATCGGACTTGTACAGCGGCCGGTGGCCAGCAGCTGCTGGCACAGATCCCAGTCCCAGCTGCGTTTTCTGTATTTTGGCCAATTGCGAAACATTTTCACCGGCTTTTGCACCACGAAATGTCAGCGAGCAGGCATTTTTCATGCTCACATGGGTGCTTGGGTATTTTCTACATATTATTTATGAATTTTTCTGTGTGTCAGGCAGTACAGCGGCAGCGGCAGAGTGGCTTCAACCTGGTCTGGCGCACTTGGCCATAACAAGTCGGTCAAGTCGGACCGGGCCAGACATTGCTGTTTGACCTTTTATTAGCTGTCTGTAATTATTATCAAAAATACATTTTTTCCTACCCAGCTTTTGTTTAACAAATTGAAATCCAAGCAGACGCTGTCGAAGTCAAAATAGTTTCGAAAAGAAGCCAGAGAAAAATCTGCGCAGAGGCAAAGTTGAAGCACGAAGACGTTTGTCGATGATTTTTATTTATTGACCTTATTGTCTGTCAAATTATTTGTTGGCCATTTTACGATTTCACTGCCCGTTTGTTCGTATCATTATTAATTTGCTTGAATTGTGACATTTAGTTGTGCAATTCGCCATACAGGGAACTTCAAATGGTTTCTTTCGCTTCACAGAACCGAGATCCATTCCGTTTTCTCTCCCCGCAAAAAAAGAAAATACCCCTCACACAATGACCGGCAATTAATATCGACTTCCTCCATGCCAGAACTTGTTCCTTAACACTGGGTCCCAATTCCGCACGGGTTTAATGTTAATTGCCAATTGTCTCATAAAATAGCGTCAGAAGGAATGCAAAAATATGGTATACAAATGGGACTATAAAATCAAAAACAATGTCTCACAATGATGGGAATTATGTTGACCTTCAGCCATTTAAGCCATTTCAGCCATTCCAACAAGGGAGAATAGCTGCCGATCAGTCGGGGCCGGAGTCGGATACCATACACATTTAATATTATTTAATGGTGTAGATTCATTTTCTATGACTCTTAGTTATTCGTGTTGTTTCTAGCTTTATCGGAACATTTATGCGATTGTTCTTGTTCAAAAACATGAAGATTTATGGTGTAATGCAATATATCTTGGTCTTATCGCCCATACGCCATCACAATTTTCACTCTCGTTAAATGGGTTCAAGGTGTTCGACGACAGCAACAACAGCAGCTCGTGCCCAGAAATGGAAGAGTGTATAGGGCTATGGGAAATGTTCGAAGGAATTCAATATAAATGGATTATATTCGAGTACTAATAAACACATGGAAAATATAAATCACTTCTAATTGAGTTTGGTTAGTCATTCCCATCCAGTTTCCCCGTGATAGAGGTCGGGTGCCGTTGATAGGTATTCACCAGTCGACCCAAGATCCCTATTGTCAGATTCGACGTTTGAAATTTACATTTACAGCTGCCGATTGGCCTAAACCGAACGGTTTTGTGGCGATAAATTAATGCTTAATCAGCAGAAATTGTCCAAATCCGCAAATTATCCGCCATCTTTCTGAATATCCGACCAACGACCAACGTCCACCGACACCGCCAAACACCAACGGGCGTTTAATTGTAATGCTGGAATCGAAATGTGCGACAGGCGGCCGCCGCATACATGCTCAGGCTGACCAGCACAGCTCCAAAAGTGACCATAACAATGGCCGTCTGTCATAACAGCAAGAACAAGTACCAGTGCGAGTGCCATTGCAACCAGAATAGAACTCACAAGAACAGAAACCAAATCGGAGCCAGAATCAAAAACAACTTAAAGAACAAGCTTAATGGCCTGAGCTAATTGAAATTCTTGTTGCACGTCTCCGTCTCTCGATTGGATCAGCGTACCGGTGGTGTGACCTTGTGGGGCGTGTTGACGGTGGGTGGGGGCTATTGATTAGAGACTACTTATAAAACACTTACCATTATTAAGTCGCCCGTTTGCATGTGGCGACGCATCAAGATCGCTGCCATGTTCCGTTCATCCTGGAACACTTCACCAATCTCGTCTTTGCGGTGCTAGAAAATAAAACAATATAACACAAATAAAGATGAAGATTATGTTAAACATTACTCGTGTAGTTGAATTAAGTGACCATGGTTCAAGATCCCAAGTTTCAAATTGAGCAAACACGATTATCGTTTTATGGTACATGTTTATGTTACAGAGTTGATTTTATTTTCAAAACTTGTGAAATATATCAAATGTTCACGCGGTGCTGTTTCTCTCGGTTATCCTTGCCAATGACTCCTTTGTGCCTCATCAATGTTTTAGTTGGGCAGATATTTGTAGAGAAACTCAGAAACGTTAACTAAGAAACGACATAGAATTCCGCCGTCGAAATTCTGTATTCTCATATACTGAATAAATATGCTCGTATAAAGACAATTTAACATTTTTTTGAAGGTCCCAATTCCTGGCACACCAATCTGTGTATGTAAAGAAAATACCCAGCCACTGTCACAGGTGGCCGCAACTGAAAATGTAAAGCCATTTTCGTTTTGGGTTTTTGTCTAACAAATGTATATTTTGTTGGCCGCTGGCCAAAGCGGCGCTGGCCAAGACAAAACGCGTGGTTAGCGAGTAAATTTAATTAAATGCAGCTCTAGCCGGGTACGGAGAGAAAGAGAGTGAGAAGGAGGACCGGGGCACTTAGCGAGGAGCGTGGGGTAGGTAGTAGTAGTAGCGCAGCAGTAGACCAAGCTTTGATTAATGCTAGTGGTCAGAAAATGTGACGCCTCAGCATGCACGTCACTCATACGCCGTGTGTGCCGGTGCAGAGCCTAGAGTCTGAACTGACCATGAAAACGGCGCTGCTGGCCTGGCTTAAAGCCTAAGCTTTTGACATTTGGCCAAGTGCTCTGGTTTCGATTCTGCAAATGTTTTTTCCAATCCTTTGACATCGACATTCGTTCTGTGTTTTCTTTTTTTGTGTGCTGGTCATTCGATCGTCGATCGATGCTCGTACGAGTGTACGTGTAGGTATACCCCGGGGATATTAGTATAGCATTAGCATACATTTTGATTGCGATGGTTTATCTTTAGTCGTGGTCTGGCCAAACTAATTAAATAAATGGCCGCTGCGTAGCCATCCGGGCCAGTTCCAGGTCGGTTCCACTCAGTGGATTTCTCTAATAAATATCGAAATAAATGTAATCTGACACTTGACATCGGCATCAGCATTTGGCATTGGACTCAGACTCAGCAGACTTGGCATAGGTCCACCGTAAACTTGTCTTGCCGGCACTCTATCAAATTACAGGCATAAATCATAACTGCCCCTCAGCATAGAGCATACTATACAGTTACTAATCGCCGCATACCACTTGAATGGAGCTGCAAATGCATATGGAAAAGTAAGCCAAGTGCCAAAATCGAAATAAAAGTTAATGTCAGAGTCAGAGCCATTGGCCTTTGGCAATGGTTATCGCCCGATGGGAACTGTCGAGCAAAAGATATGCTCAGATTAATCTAGACGCTTGTTTACGAAAGGTGGGATACATTGAGTAAAATTTTAGATTCGCCAATAGGAATCTAGATGATCTTTCATTCGAATTTGAGGTCTGCGAACTACCCCATCAAGTGTCAAAGGGTGGAAAGGTACTCAGACATATTATCCAGAGTTCCTCATCTCTGCCTTCCCCGAAATACGCCCGAGTGCAGAAATTATTTATCGCCTCGATCGAATTACTGAGCTGTCCAGAACGGGGCGTGGCATTTGTTAGATGACCGTCAAAGCGTGTGGACACGCAGCAGCAACAACAAATGCATGTGCAGCTAGCATTTATGGCTTAATTTGTTGTTGCTGTCGTTTACGCTGTATTTGCTGGGTATTTTCTAGTTGGACACGACGACCTTGTGGAAAATAAGTTCAAAGCAACAAGTGGCAAGTGGCGACCCCCACGCCGCACACAATCGTATACGTGTAGTATATTGTACAAGACTCACGTATTTCGGCTGCCATGAATCCGAATCCGAGTCAGAGTCCGAGTTGGAGCCGGAGACCAAAAGCAGCTCGTGTTGTCAACTCTTTGGAGCCTGGCCAAGTGTTTTGGCCATATTTATGAACTGTCAGTCGGCCACTTATTGCTCTTGACTCTCGACTTTGCATGGACCAATTTCCTTTGCCCAGCTGTGTGCTGTCTGTGTGTGAATGTGTGTTGACAATTGCTGTTCTCATTTTGACTTATTTTGTTCTCTTGCGACTGCAATTTTAATTAGTTGAGTTGCAAATTGTGGATTGTTTGTTTTTACTTTTTCACTTCGATTCGATTGCAATTGAAGTGAACCTATCTTTGAAGGCAGTTTTATATTTATGGCGCCGTATATTGTTTAATAACAAATGGCTACAAGACATTATGCAAATCGCTGCGCTCTGATTAGACGGTCCCAGCAAAAAATGTACTCGTATATTTCATTTCTTTGTAGTGACTTTTATGGAATTATGTAACGGCCCGAATTTTTCGCCCATTTAATTTAATTTAATTTCCATTTCACTTGCCCCAAAGGCTTTTGCCAGCAGGTTTTATTTCTCACTGCGTGGCTCATTACAGAAGAGAAAAGAAAGATACTTTCAGCTCTGATTGGAACCCATATGTACATAGATGAGAGATTGCTTTTTGTAGGGAGGGAAAGGTCCGGAGAGGAGAGCTCGGATTTCTCAACTCTGAATGCCGGTTAAGAGAAGGTGTCTTAGGCTTAGAGAATCAACTGGAAGGGAAGTGAGTTACCAATATGATGATGTCGACTATCGAACGCTCTTTTTTGAGAATTAATTAGAAATGTTTATTTACACATTTATAACATAAAATTGGTCAGAACGTAACGCACAGAAAGTATACATGAAGTATGTATGTATACTTATGTGTGTATGTATATATTTCTAAGAGAGCCCTCTGTCTCTCTCTAACTAAAGCTCTCTTCGAGTAAGACTCGTAAATGGATATTTATAAGGTATGCAAAGGAATATCCTATGCATGACCAATTTTTTTTGCATACCCAAACAGTTAGTTATACACTTATCTGATTTTAGCGGCCACCAAAATAATTGTATTTTAAGAGGTCCACAAAACTTTCATTCGTCAACGCCAATCCTCTAAATATATCATTTAAACTCCTCTAGCTTCAACACTCTTCGGCTGATGCTGCAAATGAAAGTAAAAGACCAGAGACTTAACAACTTCCTGACTGCCACATTATACACGATTTTTTTTCTTTCTCCTGCCATTTTGTTATGCAAATTAGGTTGGGACAAGAAAGAAACCAATGACCTAAAGCAGCGAACTTGGCAAGTGAAAATCAGCCCCTGAACCCTTGTGTCGAAGCGAAAAGTGAAGAATGTTAAGGCATTAGTCCCAGGCCCCTAACTTGGCCAACAGAAAGCGCTAATTTTCCATTGTTCGCGGCAAGCAAAATGAGAGCTCAGGGCATAAAAAACTATTCCGATTGTACGCCGCCCACTACGCACCACAAATTCGCGAGCCATTTAGCCAAGTTAAATGACAATTAACGCATTAGACGACTTGTAGGCGTTTCTCCGTTCATGCCGTTTGTTTGTTGACTATCTCGTTCGTTTTTTGTTGCTTTTGCTTTGTTTGACGTCGCTACGCATACGCCGCGTTGGGCCCATTTGAGCTTCAGATTTAGCCATGCGTGTATGTTTGGATGCCTGATTTGCTTTGGCAGCTATCCAGTTTATTACGCATTATTATGAACTGCATACAAACATACATATCGGACTCGAGACTTGTGCTTTATTTGTTTTTTTTTTTGGCTTTTGATTCCAATACAATGCCAAGGCTGGAGTGGACCATTATTTGTCCATTATTCGGTCAATTATGTATCCCACTGAGTTTTAGCGGAGGCAAATGCTGAGCAGAGATCTTTTGGAGGCCTAGAAGTCTATGGGAGACTTTCTCTGCCGTACTCCCCAAGCGAATCGGCTAGCAAGCCTCATCAAATCTTGCTTTGATCTTTCGCCAAACGAGCCCCATATCCATATCTGGTAGAGGCTAAAACCCTCTAATGGGGCAGGCAAAAAGGGAACGAACATTTTGGATGTTGGATGTTGGCTACAAAGCAACAAGCCGCTTTGAGTTAACAATAACTGCGACATGAGCATAACAGGAGCAACAGCAACCGCAACAGGGGAAAATGTCAGGCCGCGGCAACAACTTGGCAGCATTATGCAACCGATTGCAGCCGCAGCCGCACAAACAGAGATGGATAGAGAGAGAGAGAAGATAGCGAAATGCAGCAGTCGGCAACAAGCTGAACTGCTTTCTAAGCCTGCAATGTTTTTTCCTGGCAGCTACCCCTGCCTCCCACTCGAGCTGTCCTCTCTCTCTCTCTTTAACAGTTTCTGCCCCTGCCACTTTTTCTGATTTTGTAACTTGCATCCCCCGCGCATTCAGAAAAAGACAGAAAGAGAGAGAGAGAGAAAGCGAAAAAGAGAAATAGGGAATGAGAGACATAGTGAGCTAATTTCAAATTCATTCAGCGGCCAAATCGGCCAACTCATTAATCATGCTTCTTCTCCGCCAACAAGTTAAAATCGTTTTGCAATGACAACGATACATACCATTGAGTGTAACTGCAGCAACAGCAGCAGAGGAGCTGTGGCATGGGGCAGCCACAAATGCTTTAGAGTTTCATTAATGAACGTATTTACACACACAACCTTTTTTTAAATTATGCACTCAATCTACGAGTAGTTGCCAGCACCCATCAAAAATGCATTTTGAAAACTCAATTAGTTTGCTTTCAATTCGCTTCGACTCGTTGTTGTTGAGTGTTGCCAGTGCCAGGGGAGGCAGGATAGAATTGGGGATCGCATAGCGATTTGAACGCTCGAATTTGTTGCACAAGTCTTTCGTTTGTGCTTCGATTTTATGGTAATTGTTAAGCTCTACAGACCGACCCCGTGTCTAACTCTCAGTATGAGTCTTAGTCCGAGTGCGGGCCAAATGGCAGGTTGCCAAGTCTAGACCAAGGGGTATCTTAATGCTCTTCACGAGCTATGGGCAATTGGTCCACTGTCCACTGTGGGTCTACCTAGAGAAATATAGGAATTGGTATCGACTACCTTGAGCACTTTTCGGCTATGCAAGCCCAAATCTATTGTCTCCCGTCTGTGGTTTGAGCTGACAGGGTTGATCTATGGGAATCAAGCAGACAATCTCTTGATCTCTTCGCGTTACGTTTTTAAGCCTATAATTTGGAATTCAATCAATTTAATATTCAAGAAGCCCTTGTACTTGATTCTATTTCGAAACTGCTCTTGAGCTACATACGTTGTTTCTCCGTTCAGTTATTTCTTAAACTAATGATTCTTATTTGATCTTCATATTACTGTTTGTATGTATGTGTGTACATACATAAGTACTTATTTAAATTTCCCATTGTAATTGTTCTTGTTTAGTAATCGTAGGTTATAATTCCAAATTCATTCCTAATTCTACCCAGCAATCCCTTTCCCACAACTTCTGGTAAATAGTTCCTATCCCCTATCCCCCTTCACTTGTCTTAGCGCTCCCCTTTTTGGCAGCTTCCATTTCGGACCAAGCCAAAACCAGAGCCCAACCAAGTGACTTTTGTTTTATTTCGCCTTATTTTCGGCATTTATTTTGTGGCCGTGGGTGACCTTTGTGTGAAACCTATAGCATTCATCGATTGAATGCGGCAGTGGGAGTGCCCGGCGACGCCTTGTGTTTGCCATTCGTTTCGTCTCTCGTAATGCGGCGGGAGTGGGAGTGGGTGGGACCAAGTGGAGGTAGGGTAAGTTACGGTAAACACTGCTCAACAGGAGAAATTTCAGCGCATGAAATGATTTGGATTTGTGTTCGGGTGAAAAAGAGATTGCACTCCGAAAAACTGAAATTATTATTTTGTGATTAACTTCGCAGTAAGCGAATCCATCAACAAAAAACTACAGCACACAAAATTTCCATTCGTCGCGACGGAGGTCGTTAAAACGTGGAAACTGAGTCAGTTCTATTGACCAAAGATCAATGGAATAATATTTTTTTCGGTGCTTTTGCGGTTTTCCAACAAGAAATTAGAATAAATGGTTTTTCTTGGGCATTTTTTCGCTTCACTGGTGCTCAGAAGGTCTCTGACAAAGTGCCGCTATTACCAAAAAAAAAAAAAGTCGAAAAAATCTAGCATAGAAAACATTGAAATTGTTGTAGTTATGTGGGGTATATCTTGGGACCATTTGTTTGTGGCATGAGTGCACCACGGCAACGAAAAACCCAAATAAAAATAATTGCCAAGTCAGAGATATTCAGAGGAGAACAGAGGTCTTGCGTGGGTTTCTTAATCCAACAAAAAGAAAATACTGAAGTAATGTTCATGCAGTTTGGTTCGTTTTAATTAAAAAGCAAATATGTACAAATCCCCCAAAAAAAAAGAAAAAATGTCAGAAACATCGTACAAATCTTTCCGCATTTCACGGCGAGAGGCTTAACACTTGAATTATCACACATAAATCACAACAAGTTGGAAAAAAAACAGCATGAAAAAACCCAAAGCTGAAACAGACCAAAGCCATAAGAGTTCGGTCGCCGGGTTCATTTCTTTTTTCGTTTTGGCTGTCGTCTGACATGACATTTCACTTTCATTTCCGAAGTCTTGCGTCTTGCATTCAAAATTATTTTGTGTGTGAAATCCTTTCCTCTCTCTCTCTCTCTCCACCCTCTTTCCTCACCTGTCACCCTTTCCTTCCAATCCCCACCCACCCGGGTAATAGGCGCCGAAGTAAAACTGGTAATAAAAAGTACGATCAATCGATTGTGCTCCATAGGAACACGCCCACTACAAAGAAGGCGGCAGCCAAAGCACCAGCATGAATAGAAAGTGAACTTTACTCGTAACTCTAGAGAAGTCACGTTCATGGTTAAAAACCAACGTTTGCGAACTGAATTTAATGGGAACTTGTAGGTGGAAGCAACTGCTATTGCAACAAATATCTTAATTAGGACAAATTTGAAAGAGAAACTAGATCTTTCGCGAAAATCGCCTCAAGGATCTTCAAGCCAAAAAAATATGGCCAGCTTTAGAATGCCCATTGGAAGCAACAGAAGCAAGCTTTGTCTAACCGAATAATATCCTGCCTTACCAGATCTAATAACTCTCTTTTGCCAAAATAGAACCTGCTCAATAATAATTGTAATCAAATCTATCGAATTACCACATATAATAACATCTCAAATTTAAGCTTATTGATAATTGTCTATCTCTTGTATACTATACGAGCAAGTTGATTCTTTCCTCATTTTTCTTAGACTAAATTTCATTTAGAGTCAATCAGAATATAGTCAGATCTACAGTCAGACCACTAAGCGGATTTCTGTAAGTTCTTGACTTTAATATCATATTTCTTATACATACATATGTGTATACTTTTTCATACCATTAAAATGTACATAATTGTAAATTGTAAAAACATATAACAAAACAAAATTATAAAAAACAAATGTAATGAAACGCGGTCTCAACAAGTGTGGTACAAATACAAGAAGCGCGGCCTGAGTCTAATCTCTTTATCGCATGGCCAATTAATTTTGATTAGATACGCGTACAGGTACACAGCACAGGCGCTGCACACGTACAGAAGGCAATAAAAGCAACGAAATATCAGAGAAGCAAAACAGAGATAAACGAAAAGAAAGAAAATCAAACAAAACAAAATAAAATAAATCTTTGGACGAGGCGCAGCTGGAAAACAGTGAGAAACAAAACAAAAGAAATAACGAAGCAAAAATATGCCTACCTCAAGCGGAAGTATGGCGAATCAGCAAATCAGAAAACGTACAAAAGAAAAAAGTAACTATAATCATTTTCTTATGTTACCCGCCGTGATGTAATCAATGAAAGTGCAATAAAAGAAAGATGTGTACATATGTGGGGGAAGTGTACAATAAGGGAGCAATTGAGGGCAGGGAAGCCAATTGAAGAAATCGGGTGTACAATAAATGAAATGGAAAATTAGTTAGAAATTTTCGAGTAATGCTAGTAAAAGGTTTATGGCAAAGGATGCAGCAATAGTCACTCCAAAAACATTTAATAATCGTGTTTCCTCTATCCTTCTTCCAATAGCCAATATTGCATCCCAATTATATTTCCATACCGCACCTTTTGTTACATATCTCTCTTTCCCTTTCTCTTCACACCAACGAAGGCCAGTATTTCTACCCCACTCCGCCTGCGAGCGACAAACTGCACGATATAGAGAAAGCGAGTGTGATAAAGGGAGGCAGCCACAGAAAATTGGTTTCCTCACTATATAATTGGATCCCAACATTTTCTACATTGTTGTCTCGTTGTCGTTGTCTCGTATCTTCGCACAGAATAAATACTACACTAATACGAGTACTAAAAAAATACTGAAACTCTTATGGAAGTCCCCACAATTCGAAAAAAAATGCAGCTGGGACTCACCTCCTCCTGGGCAATCTCCTGCAGGTCTAGGCCGTGGGTGGCATTGGGCTCGCTACCCACGCTCCACATCCGCAGCTGGTGGGGCGCATCCTTGAAGAGGCCCTTTGTTGCGCGCAGGGTGAGGTTCATGTGGTGTCCGAAGGCGCTGAAGGAGACGTTGTGGGACTGAATGGCGCTGACGTCGAGGCCGGACAGATGGTTGCCGCCAGATGACATGGCTTGATGCTTCATCTCGCTGTAATAGGAGTTCTTGCTGAGATCCTTTTTCACGTGGTGGGGCGGAAGGTGCGAGGCCGTGGCCGCCTTTTGGCTGTCGGAGATGCTGCGCCGCCGCCGCTGGTGGTTGTCGTGGTGCAGCAGCTGGACGACCTCATAGTGGGGCACAGCGTCGTGGGTGTCCACGTGGAAGACGGACTGCAGCTGCTCCGACGACATGTGCTTGTGCAGCTAAAATAACAAGGAGAAAGAAAACATTTAAAGTCGGTGATCAAAAATGAGTTCCCCGGGCGGTGGCAACAATTTGTAGCAATTGTTTGATAGTTAATTGAAAAATTATCAATAATTCAATGCAATAATCGAGTGTTTGTTGATCGTTGTTGAAACGATCTCATGCGTTTATTCGGTTATTCGGCTATCCGTCTATTCGGTTCGTGTTTGCATTGGGCCGCTTCTCAAGTGCTATCTGGAGATTAACGACTAAGCCAGAGCCAAAGCCAAAGCCAGAGCTCGGCTAGGCTACACTCTGAGTATTCGTCTTCAAAAACTGGGTCAGGGTCAATGCGTTGCTCGATAGATTTCTTATAAAGTCACACACATGTTCGTAGTACGAGTATATTCAAGTATTTCCGAATCAAGCGAAATACCAGAAACTGAAGTTCAAAAACAATCTTGGCCGTCTTGTGTAAACTTTTTTATTTTATTTTCTTTTATTGTTATTGTTATTTTGATTTTATTTTGTGTTATCGCCAATAGTTCCGTAATTGAGAAATTCAATTAAATATAAATTAATTTCATATTGTTATTAATGGATTTTTAATTTGTGGCCAATTGGTATTGCTTATAAATAGTTTTATTAATCTACGAAGTCTGCTCATTCTAAAAAAGGGAAATTTTTGGTTTGATTTAATAATATTTTACACTCGAATTTTTCTCATGAAGTGATATGTAAATGCCAATGAATACTCATCAAATAAGTTCTTGGACACAGCTTTTAGTTCCTCCTGCTCGAAGCCAGAACATTAAAGTCATGATGCTCTTGAATTTCCAACTCAAATTAAATGCAATTTACAAATATAGATCCTCTCACATGTAGCCCTTCAATCAATAATGTTGCTTTATTTTTAGTTCTTCAATTGGATTCCCGTTTTATTTATCTGTCAAATCTAAATCTCACTTGCAATTCCAACTAACAAATAATCAGATCTGTTACAGGGTCAGTCGCTCTGACTAGAATTTCCGTTAACAAAAAAACAGGCAGAGCGGGCAGCCAATAACAAAAGGCGAAGACAACGAACTTGTTGGCTACGCCGCAAGCGGTCCCCAATTTAGGCAAATATCTTGCATTTAATTTGCCAAAAATGGCCTAAAATGAGTCAGAAATGGACCCAGACTCAGAAATGGAGCTTAAATGATGGCGAATGTATTCACAAAAAACGAAGAAGCAGACAAGGTAAACGAGATTCGAGATTCACTTTTACAGCTACTCGTACGCAGAGATGCCGCTGCTCTTGGCCATAACGGTACGGCCAGCATAATGATTCTTTTTCTTTTACAATTGAAATGCGAACCTCTGCAGTCGAAGTGGAAACATAATTTGAGGCAGGCAGGTGAACAAACGCCAGAAAAAAACCAAACACAGGGTAGACAATGCCAAAGAGTTTTTACTTTCATTTGGAACGTGTTTTGACCACAGACAACAGTCGCACATGAGGCCAGGAGCCGGAGCCAAGCCAAGCCAGCCAGCTGTTGCTGCAAATGAAGCAACTTTTGCCGCTGCTGGTGTAGTCGTCGTCGTCGTTGCCCCATTGAAAGTGAAACTGAAGCTTGAAAAAGGAAAACAGCAGACAAAAACGAGACTCTTTCGATGACGCGTTGAGCTCGCCACTCGAGTGAGATTGTGATTGTTGCATCGAGTCGAGTGCAATCATTGGTCTTGAATACACCATTCGACACTAGGGCTCTTGGGCAGCACAAGCAAAATATGTGGAAAGCTTTGCACCTGCAACGAATTATCCAATATTCTTCAGTGCTCTCGCTACACGATATGCAAATCCCGCTGTGGGGAACGGGAACGAAAACCACACCCAGACACCAATCAACACTTAGCACTGGCCCTTGTGGCCAATTATTTGCAATTAAAAACAAATGAGCCAGAGAAAAACTTCGATCAGCAATTACTAATTATGCAAAAAAGGCGGCATCCAATGAACAAGATCAGCGATCGGCGATTAGAGAGCCAGGGACGGGGTCGGAGCTCAGCTGGGAAGGGAAGGCAGCTGTCCCAAATAAGGAAACCAATGAAGGAGCTTTGAGTGTGTGTGGATAATAATGCACTACAGGTACTTGCTTCTACATTATGTTCGTTTATAATATGCAGTGTATGCAGCGAATGATCTTGTTAAATGTGTCTGAAGTGTATTTTGGAAAGAATTCAAATACAATCTATCATTTTTAAAGATGCCTGAACCTAGAGGCGAATCGAAACGGTGAAGCAAACGCTTTAGAATGGTAGCAAACCAGAACCTACTGCAACTTGTCATCCGAATCGATTAGCTGGCAGTTTTTCAGTTGCGATTTTCGATTTGGTAGCTGCCACAAGCAGCGGCACCAGCACCGGCTCCGGCAGGCGCTGTTTACCTACCGATTTGTCCAGGCTTAGGTTTGATTTTATTTTTGGTTTTCGCCGAGTGCAATGACGGATATTGTGAAATTGTTGCTGTTCGTAATTTGTCGGCTGGCTGTTGTAGTCGAAGCGATGGCGATGGCGATGGCTGACTCGGGCAATTACTGAAATTGTGTGAGATTACTCATACGCCCGGCAGACCACTCGAAGAGCGATACTCGTATATAACCGGCATGACGACGACGCGACGCGACGGTGATGACTATGGCTATGGCGACCAAGTGCAATCAGAGTCAAGTCAAAGTAAAAGGTGTAGCCGCCATATTAACGCAAAAAGTGTGCTTCAAATTGGCTCTGGCTGAGGCCAATACACTTTTTATGGCAGCACCAGCTAGAGTCACATTCAGTATGTTGCAATTATTTTCCTCTCTTTCTAGCCGGTCAAAGTCAACACCAAGCCACCAGCAACAGCACCACTCGCACAACAGTCAAACAACCGATCGACGCACGAAAGAGTGTCACTCGACCTTTCGCATAGTCATACACAAAGAAATTATTCACTTCAAAAGCAAGCAACAGAAACAGCAACGGCAACAGCTTGAAGATGGATCCGAGGACTGCGCAGGGTTGAGGGTTGAGCATTGGGCTGCGAACTAAATTACGATAGTGTGTTTGGGTTTCGTTTCTTTCCATTTCCTTGGGTGTGTTGACCTTGCCATGTTCACGCCACGGCTGACAAGTGGCGGAAATTAGCAACTGCTTCTGTCGGCGCTAAGTGTTCAGTACTTTCAGGTTTTTTCCTCCTCTTTATTTTGGGATTTATGCTTCTGTCAAAGATTAACAAAGTGTGAAAAGTTCAGGGTGTTACGACACCGCCGGCATAAATGAGGAACGGACGCACACTAAGAGTGATGGCAATTTTGTGTATGCAAAAACACATAACTCAGATCAGTATAGAAGTTCATTAGGTTGAGTTTACATTTTGAAATATTCTTGGACTGGGGAGTGTTAGATAAATACGAGGAAAAACTTAAATAGTGTCCTGCTTTTCCCACTTTTCATAATCGAATATTTGACGTTTCGCTTGCGATTGCATAATCTCTTTATCTGTCAGCAATTACTCATACACTGACATTCCACCCACCTCCACTCATACACCTACACAGACACAGCGGGGGAGAACGTGACCCCAGAAGGGGACAGACACAGACACGGATACAAGACAAAGCGGAACTCAAGCCGTGCCAAGTCTCAGAAAACTTCAGACAAAGACAAGTAACAACGAGAAGGAACGTGTGTGTCGCTTCTGGGGACGCGACTCTACTTTTATACCCGTACTCAGTCAGTAATTTTGAGTCTATGATTTTTTAGAATTTTAGAATTAAAAAAAATTTTACAGATAACATTTTTTTCTCCATCTGTTATTTACATCTACAATGTATATTATACATCTCCTCCGCTAGAGGGCGCTCGCGTACATAACGAGGAAGAGTGTGCGAGCAAGAAAGAGAATGAGTAGCGGGTCTCTTGCTGTAGGAGGCGGGGGAATCAACTGAAAATGAATTTCTTCATTATGGCCATAATTATGATCCGATCTGATTCAGCTTCGGTAATCTGGTAGATATGGTCATTCTCTACGATACTGCGTTTTCAGTTTATCTTTAAAATTGTGCCTGCCACAGATTTTCGTCCTTAGTGGGGGCGGGGCAAAATTTTGAAATACACTTGTAGCAGTGTGATATCACATGAGTCTGGAAACCAAATTTGGTTACTCTAGCTTTTATAGTCTCTGAGATCTAGGCGCTCATCAAGACGGACATGGCTATATCCGAATGGTTCAGAATTTTATATAGCCAGATATATTCAAAACTAGGGACGCAGCAAATATCAAAGCACAACCGAAATACCCTCTGCAAGGGTATTCTTATCTCATAAAAAACAACTGTAACGATCCTGCAGCAGACACAGAGAATCGTGCCAGATGGAATAAGCGCTACAAACAGTTCTTGATTTCACAATTAAAGGCTTAATTTATTTGGCCAGCCATTGATAGCCATGGACCATGGAGGAAGGCGGAATGGGATTTCTCATTTTTTTGTTTCTTCATTTTTGACAGCACATGAAACATTAACAAGATCTGCAGCAGCAACAGCAGCTGACTCATGCCTTTTGCATCGATATTCTAGCTGTGATTTGCATGTTTTGCATGTCTTGCCTTGCTCGGCTCGGGGTTTCTGTACTTCAGTTTTAGTACTGATACTCTTGTACTCTTAGAGAAGAAAACATTCACGGACTTATAAAGGAGAGCCAAAAGATTTTTTTACTTTTATGCATATACGTTCATATATGTATGTACGAGTAATATGTAACTACGGATGTTTTCTATATTTTCAAAATCGAATCACCATTTTATTATGTTCGGCCCAGTTGAAACAATCGTGCTAGGAGGGTATGCAGTGGTTCGGTGCCCGAAGCTTCTTCTTCCTTCTGGTTATGGTTGGCTGCCATTTGAAGGGCCTCGTCATAGTTTTTGGTGTTGTTGCTGTCGCTGTCGCTGTGGCGTGTCAACTTTAATTGCAGTGCAAGACGGAGACGAAGTCGTTTATGGGGCATCATGTTGCAAGCGCCGTTTATGTGACTATGACAAGGCTATGGGTCGAGTCGATGTCTCCACAAGCACGAACTTGCACGGAAAACTAACCAAATGAAATGCTTAAGAAAATCTTTGTCAAAGCAATCAGCCTTTGGATCGATATAAAGATCAGCTAAGCGATAGTTGTGGCAAGAAATTCAACTAAACGTTATCTAAAAGTGAAAGAGATTACAAAAAAACGAGAAAGAACGTGTGAGTCGCTTCTTTGTACGCGACTCTACTTTTATACCCGTATATAAATTTGTGAGCTTATGATTTATGTAGAATTTTAAAATATGTTCAACTTTTTTGCTACATCTGTCATCTACATCTAACATGTTTATTCTACTTCTGAAATGTAGATTACAATGCACAATGTAGATTCTACATCTTCTCTGCGAAAGGTCGCGCACTGCATAGGGCAGAGTGTGTGCGAGCGAGAAAGAGAAAAAGTAACGTCAGCAGCGTTGGAGGAGGTGGGGGAGGCAACTGCAAATTAATTTCTTTACTCTGCTATAATAATGTAGCCGTGTGATATCACATGAGTCTGGAAACAAAATTTGGTTGCTCTTATAGTCTCTGAGAACTAGGCGCTCATCAAGACGGATAGACGAACAGACGGACGGACAGACATGGCTATATCGCCTCGGCTATTGATGCTGATCAAGAATATATATACTTGAGGTCGGAAATCTAATATACCCCTTGAATCTTTTTGAGTACGGGTATAACCACAGACAGACATGCTGGAAGGGACAGATAAAAAAAGAAAGAAAGATAAAGAAAAACAGATGATACTGGAAATAATTACAAGAACTTTTTACTCTTGACCTTGGGATAGTATTTTGTTGGCAAAGCTTTTTCTTCGAGACAATCAAAAGCGCTGACTTCAGTTGAATTTCAATGAGATACACACACACACACACATACATACACAGAATAACGAATACAGAATACATGTCGTTGTATTCCTAATGTACGAGTAGGTAAACGAGACACTCTTCGGGTGCTCTGTTTTGTAATTAAATTAATATACAGAAAATGTTTTCGTTATTGCTTGAAATGCTAATTACGCACAATGCGAATGACAATGAAACCGTCGACTGAGGGCCTTTTGTTGTGGGGTTTTTCTTAGCTTTGTTCAACGGCAACTTTACCCTGTTGACTGTGGTAAGTACCACAAAGGTTATTTTTATCGCATTGAATTGATTGATGAGTTCTGGGACACCGACTGAACGTGACCCACACCACTTGGCATTCACAGGGAGTGCACTTGGAGTGCTTTCTGTCTGTACTTACATCTGGCAGGGCCTGACATATCGTGCTGGCCAGGAGTAGCGCTGTGATGAGGCCCAATGTAAAGGTCATTTTACGTGCAGCTCGCTTAGAGTGCGCTACGTTGTTTCCTTTAAACTCTTAAACTGAAAATGAAAGAGTAAAATAATCGATTAATATATAATTAGTGAACATTTTTCGTCTGATGGCTACCCTTAACGAAAGCTTTCGGAAAATATTTTCCTCGTTGTCTTTTCTTACTCCTTACTCTTATTTTCTTCTCCCTTTTTTCCCCTATATCTTCTCCCCGTTGCCTCCCTTCATTATTCACCAATCTCTCATATTACGCTTCTTATTATCCTTACCGTAAGTAATACTTCCCATTCCCATACTTAACAATTCTCTTAACCGATTGCGGAATGCAAAGCCTACGGAAAATATACCCCTACACCTCGTGGTCATGCTCAAATGGATATTATTTCAGTGCGCCAAGTACCTATAGTAAGTACATGCCATCATCGACAGTGTTCATAACTGCATCGCTCCTACGAGTATGGCTGTTCAATTAATAATTGTTATTTAGTTGCAAAACCTAGTTTTCGTACCCTATGGCTGAGTAATTAATTGTTGCATAAAGCCGAGAAGCAAGAAGCAGCCGCGTGACTGTAAGACAATCTTGTCCGGCCCTGCTGATTGCTAATGATGCTGCTGTTGTAGCTTTAGCACATCCGCCCCGGCATCAAATGCTGCTAATTGTCAATAATGATGCAGCGATGCGTTGCAAGAGACAAACAGCATCCCATCCCATCCCATGTCATGCCATTGTATCCAAGCCTTTTGACAAACCGACCAAGAAAACAAACAGAACTGACCAACAACAGCTCCAGCAGCAGCAGCAGCACTGCTTCAGCAGCTGCAATTTCATGTTGCAACTTCTCGGCGGCATTTACGATAAATCGCATGACATTTTATTTGCCCGCTTCCCCCTAAAGGTTTCGTTTGCACAACTTCCATGCAAATGTTGCAAGATCTCTGATGGCCCGAATTTAATACAAAGAAAGTCTAGGCGCAAGTATCATTTGATTTCCCCCTTTCCCCTTAACAAGAGCAAACACACACGATAAACGGACGGACTCACAGCAGAGCTCATCAGAGGGGCGTGACTTGGCAGGGCGATACTACATATGTATATGCTATTATTCTTCCGATTCCGGACTATTTGAGCACAGAGCTCAAACCCAAGGCCTGAGTAAGAGTCAGAGCCAAAGACCAACAAGTGTGCAACAGAATAAGAATGTTCTGAGTATTTAATAGTTAATGCAGGCACTCTCATAGGAAAATGAAAACCAAGTCAACCCAGAGGGGATTGGAGGCCTTTAAGGGGTGGCAAAACAAGTCGAAGAAAATCTTTTAAGCTATTCTGCTTTATTTCTGTTAAGCAAGGAAGAAAGGATCAAACAAAAGACTTAGAAAGCAAACTTCTTTTAAATATGTACATTAACAATTATACCCAAGAAACCCCCTATCGAGATATGTAAATCATGTGTCATCAAATCATCATTCATGAATACAACCATCCGATAATCGTTTGAATGAATAATCAGAATAATACATAACCTCCAGTATGAATAGAGCCATCGTTCTTGTTTGTTTGTCTGGACGTTGATATGCAATGACTGCACCATCAAGTGGCCCATGCGACACCAAGCCGAAGCCTGTTACGCGCGGAACCCAGGCAGAAACGCAGCCCTCCTCCCGCCCAACCGACCGAGGGGCGCTGCCGCATTACGAGCGACGCGTGTTACCGAACCGATCGCGAGCATGCAGGAAAGATAGGTGTTAGACTAAAATTCGAGGAAAATTAGAGCTAAACACAACTCAAAGAGCTAAACATGCAAAGATATCTAAAAAATATAACTAATTACGGGAAAGGTATGTTAGTATTAGTGATTTAAGAAGAGGAAGGGAACTAGTAGTTGATATTATGTGGTAGAGGGAATTGAAGTCCGAGCAAAGTACCCTAAATGGTTCGTGCAAGGAATAATTCGATCTACAAAGCGTAAGGAACAAAGGAATGAAGTTTCTAGTACATCTAATAGGAATCGTAAAGTTTATGCGGCTCAACAAGTCAGGGCTATCTACGTCACCCTTGATCAGGTTGTGCATAAAAATCACACCAAGCATTTTTCTACGACTAACTAAGGTTGGAAGGTTTATTAAAAGCTATCTACGAGGATAAGATGGCAGTCTCACACCTGCATCCCAGTTAAGGCCACGCAGAGCAAAAAGTAAAAAGTTTTTCTGGACTGATTCTATACGGTCCTGGTGTACTTTGTACTGGGGGCACCATACACAAGAGCCGTACTCTAAAATCGGACGAACAAGCGAGATGTAGAGAGTCTTCGTTATATAGGGGTCGTCAAATTCCTTTGACCACCTCTTTATAAACCCAAGCACACCCATGGCCTTATTTACCATGGTAGAAATGTGTTCAGAAAACTTTCACTTTGGGTCTAATTTAACACCAAGATCATCAACCAAGGTAATTCTCTCAAGAGAACCACCGCAGAGGCTATAAGGAGCCAAAAGGGGGCTGGAGCGATGAAATGTCATTACTTTGCATTTCGAGGCATTTAGGTGTAACATATTTGCACAACACCATGATTGAAAGTTATTGAGATCGGATTGCAAGCGAGAGTGAAATGAAATGTCCTTATACTGGACACAAAGATTAACATCATCCGCATACATGAGTACTCGAGAGTTTGTTAATACTGAAGGCAGATCATTAATAAAGAGTGTGAATAGTAGGGGGCCTAGATGGCTGCCCTGTGGTACTCCAGAAGTAACCTTAACAGGTGAAGAAAAGGAGTTTTTGAAGAGGACTCTTTGAGACCTAGAACGAAGGTAGCTAGAAATCCATCTCAAATGATTAGGCGGAAACCCTAAAAGGTCAAGTTTTTGTGCTAAAAGGGAATGGTTTACAGAATCGAATGCTTTACTAAAATCAGTGTAAATGACATCCGTCAGCAAATTACCTTGAAAGCCTTTAATGATAAAAGAGGTAAACTCTAACTTCTGTCAAGCCTTTCACCCAAATATAAAATCGAAAATGAATTAAAGGCATGGAAGAATCAATTCAAATTAAAATTGAATTCAAATGTGTCAAAGAATATCGAATTGTTGTGATTAAGACCGAGGATAAAACTTAACGTTTTTTCAGTATGGTTGCCTCTATCCAAACAAGACAAGAAACAGAAACTGTTATGCGGTAAACGAAGGCGAGATACTCTGTAGAAGCGGCACAAAATGGCAGGCAGCTTCATTGAGTCGATCATTTGCATAATTAAGGTCGATTAGGGTCGAATCGGCCGAATGGCCATATGCGTGCATGCATAAATCTAAATCGCAGCCAGCTCAAGGTTATGGCTATGGCAAAACTATTTTTTGATTTATATTCAATCTTGCATAATTCCCGTTCATATTTTTATATAATTATTGGAATATGCCTCCACAAAAAGAGGAATGAAGAAAAGATACGCATCATCAAATGTCAACAAATTTCGAACAGAAGGGCAGCTTCAAAAGTGTGGAAATGGAACTGAATTGGAACAGTGCAAAAAACCATTGAAAGAGACAACAGCAGCCGCAGCAAGAGGCAGAAAGCAAGTTGCATCGTCAGCTTCCGCATAATTATGCCACCGACTGCGAGTCAGCCAGCACTCGGCCATACATATATTTTAGTCTTTTTCACTTTTATTTATTTTTTTTTTGGCTGGCTTTTACCCCAGCGTCAGCGTCTGTTTCGGCTTTATGTGAATTTTTTGTGTGGTTGATGGCTTTGGTTTTAGCTTTCATCTCCCTTGCTTTCTTAATGAATTTGCTGACACAACAATCTGAGTTGCTTTGGCCGCCGCTTCCACTGCTGCAGCGGGTTTGGTGTGGTCTGTTGTAAAACCGTCGCTGGCTGTTTCTGTTTTCAAGGGGCGTCAGCGTTTTACCTAAATTGACATTGACAGTTGGACTGGGCCAGCACCTCTCTCCTCCAGTCCCTTTCTTTCTCTGGGCCACGCCACCTCTTGCCCCTGCTCCAGACAGCTGATTTTTAGTAAATTCGGGTGCTGCTTCTGTTGGCTGATAGCCATCGTTTCGATGGTGAGCACCTGCGCCAGTGACGTCTACCTCGTGTAATTGGCTTTGCATTTCGCTTGGTAATGAACTTAATTTATCAATTAATAGCCCGCACTAGTTCTGGCCATGGGTCCAGCCCGAGCCCTCAGGGCACATGAGTAATGCGGATTGTAGTTAATACAATACACAGGCCAATCCAGACCCAAGCCCATACTCGCACCCCACAAAGGTGACATAACAAAGTTCAACTGTGAGCGTTTTGCACAAAAGATAATACATTTTTTCAGATATGTACATACATACATACATATGTACATATGTATTTTGCAGACACAATTCGCTGCAAGTTGCAGACAGCGATCAAGTGGTGGTGGAGGCGGAGATTACGTAAAATGTCTGTGACCTGAACTTTTTGCATTTGCTCAACATTTTCAGTCTCTCTCTCTCTGTCTCTCTTTCTCATTTTCTCCCTGTGTGTGTGTGTATGTTGATAAGGGCGAGCGAATCTTTAGCCCATTGTCTTGATCATTTTTATTAGACAATGGATGTGTGCTTTGGGAACTTGTACCTTGAGTCGGGTGTTGAAAACTTTGCAGACAACATCAGAAGCTGAAGAAACAGCTGTGCAAATGTTTTAAGTTGTTGGCCAGAAGCAAAAACAAAAAAAGCGAAACCTTAAAATACTTGCTAACAAAATCTTTGAATCTGTATCTTTTGATTAATATTTAAAGTCTGAGTTCGCTGACTGAAATCATCAAAGTTGTTGGCTTCTAAACCCGTTTCAGGGCCTTGGATTTAGATGTTTGGAAAACTTTTGCCTCAAACATCTGTTTTCATGCAAATTATTAATTTATGTAGATTTTGCTTCCACCCAAGAGAATCCACCATAGAGAGAATCAAAGGCATGGGGCAAAGCACAGCGAGCCATACAGTGCGTACACGTAATGTCATTTATTCAAAAGATAGATAGAGAGAGAAAGAGAGAAATAAGTAAATAAATGCCTAAACCTGTTTGAGTAGATACTCATTAAGAGACTATTAAAAAAATGTGCAAATATTGAAAAATTTCATGAAAAAATGGCGAAGAAGATAATAAGAGGCAAAGAGAAGCAACGCTGCGTATACGTAACCTGACAAGCTAATTAAATTTAAAGATGCGCATGCAATGACAGCAGAGAAAAGGAAAAAACTAATACAACAAAAAATAAGGAAAAACAACTTTCTACATATATGAAATATTGGGCCAAAGAACAGATACCAACACAATCCGCATATTTTTTAATTTAACTATAAAAAATGTTCGCAGTTTCGAATTGAAAATATTTTCTGTGGACGTTAATGTATCGAATTGTTTTTCTCGCTGGCTGTTGCTGCTCTTGTTATAATTTTCCAACTATTGTTACAACATGCAATATCAGCAACAACGGTATAAACTGATTGCGTGCTGCGTCGACGTCACTGCTGTGGTCAAAGCCGGCAACTGTCGGAAAAGTTGTAAACCGCATAAAAAATGAAAGTGAAATTGAAATTTAAGAAGACGTTGCCAGAAATGTTTGCTTTAAGTTTAGATTTGATTTCAATTTGGTTTTGATTTTTATGATTTCGATTTTGTCTATATTTTGTTCGTTTTTTAATGATTTCCATAAAATTTAAATGGAAAACCAATTGAATTTATGGCCCATTGTTTATGGTTTTCCTATGAAAAAATTAGCCACCAACTGCGCAAACTGAACGTTTTTTTTAACGGAAAATTAAACATTAGATTATTTTTTAAGTGTTGCCACAATCGGAAAATTAGCATATTTTCTGTATTAAAGTTGTATAAATGAATTTAGGGTTTTAAACAACGAACAGTTTATGGAATATGAAAATTTTTGTACCGGAGTAAATCAAATTTTTATTTCTTCAGATTCTTTTGAAAGAAGTTACTGTTATTTACAGTACAATATGATATTACCATCTTCTACTAAATTACTGTAAAAAAAACCCTTTTAAAAATGGGGGAAGAAAAACAAATGTTTTCTGTGGAGTGTAAAACAAATAAACTTGAGTACATGGACTAAACGGAGCGTAGCAACTATTCCATGAATGTTGATCAAACGAAAATTTCAACAAATATGAGTAGAAACAACCACTAAATGTTGAATGAATGTTGAATGGCAGCAAATGGAAATATAGTCAAAAATACGATCTAACAGGTTACTCGAGTTTCGTCTTTCTTGCGCTATCAGTGGATACACAAGTGAATTAATGCCCGAAAAGAAAAATGAATTTAAACCCTTGGATATACAAAAGTATACATATGTATGTACATAAATATCTTTACATATGAATATATGTATAGGCGTGCTAGGGCTGTTTGCATGATTTCCAAAGAATATCAATAGCATAGGAAGTTGCAATAATCCCCGGGCAGCAGACAAAGGCGGAGGCAAAAGCTCAAAACTTCTTTCTCTCTTCAGCTGGAGAGCTGCGCCCGCTCTGCCACTCTCCAGCTGACTCTCTTGCACAGTCTTTCTCTTTGTTGAAATCAAAAACTGCAATAATTGCAATAGCAGCAACAACATTAAGGAGAGCAAAGCGTAGCGGGCAATAATAACTGTAGCCATATTACAAAATCGCGTTGGTCCGAGCCTCGCAAAAGCACACCGAATACCAACAAACACACACACACCAGCAACAGTGAGATAATAAGCCTACAACAACACTGTGGCACGAAAAGCTGTTGCAGCGATATAAAAAATATATAAAACAAAACCAGCTCCACTCAATATCCACTGGGAAACAAGCCCATTTTGTGGGCCCAACTAAAACAAAAGTTTTTGTACAAGTAGTAGGTTTTGTATTTTGTATGTATGTACATTGTACATACATATAAATATCTGGGTTCTCCTCCCCAGAGCCGGATCCTGCTTTAGAGATCTTGTTTATCCCACCCTCCCATGCCGATTGTATGTAAATATGTAAATAGTATGTATGTAGATATGTAAATAAATACATACATACATATACATAAGTAAATATGTATGAATGGCTCACAGAAGTTATATTTGGATTCCCCTAGGAATTGTTTTTAAAGATTATATATCTATTTCTTTTTACCAAATATGTATGAGTTTATTCGGCTTAGAAAAATTCCACTGCCCCCTCCGAAGAAATGTATTTCTTAAAGTTCCCATCACCTTTTTGTTTGATTGAATAATTAGCATGCCCGTCATATTTGAATCGAAACTCACATATGAAGTAATAATTTGAACAAAAACTTGTCTGAAAATTAGTAAAAGCCAACTAAACAACTTTTTGTTATACATATTTGTTAAATATCAAAGACCAATGTAAATTAATATTTTTCCTCTTTTTGATTTATCTAGCGTGGTGACATGCCAGAGTAGCTGACTAGGAGGGAAAAAAGTCTGATAACAGTGAAGAAGGTCATGTGATGAATGGATAGGTACTAAGGAAAAAGAAAAAAATAAAACCAAATTCTTAGGGTTATTTTCAATGATTTCACTTTAAGCGCAAAATTTCGCATTACTCAAATCGGGTACTTTATAGTGGTTATTACTTATTGGTCATAGGTTCCCTTCCTATACATTTTAATGATTCCTTAGACACTTATCTCTCCACAGAATAAATAAAGACAAAGTTCTTGATCTCGTAGTATATTCTATCCTCAGTCATCTGTACGAGTATATGTATATGTATATTATGTATTATTTTTGAACTCACCTAAGTTTGTTCCTGTTTTGTGTATTACAGGCAAAATCAGAGCTTTGAACCAAACTAATTTTTATTAAATTTCCAAGCTTTTGCAGCACTCTCATATAAAGGCACAAAACACTGTGATAATCTGATTGACTTGACTCAAGAACTCTTCCAAAGAAATGGCAGTGGTGGTGGTACAGATCCTTCTTGTTAAATTCGAATAGGGTTGAAATTTCTCTAATCTCTAATCTCTGCTCCGTGTGCTTTTCTAGATAGGATAAACGCGCGACGATAGACAGAAGACAGCAGCGGAAGCGTATCGAATTTAAAGTCGGAACAGAACCGTGGCCGTAGCTGAAGCTGGACCCAACGCCGGAGCACAGAACACACGCGAACGCGAACGGAACGGAAAGAAAGACGAGCAGCGATTAAGCTGGAGGCGGTCAGTGGGAAAGATTAAATACGGCGTGAAATTCGCTCGCCAGCGGATTTTTTCTTGTTAACTTATTTTATTTTGTTGCTTTTCTGTAAGCGAAATTCATTTTTCACTCAATTTCGTTTCATTGTGCTTGTATTGCTTTTATTATTGCTTCTCAACCTTCTGAGCGGGCAGGAGGCTGGGGCGGGACAAGCAAGCAGGGCAGCAGCTCAGAACACAAAAAAACATAAACAATATAAACCGCGACTTCAACAGCGACAGCGGCGGTGAGAGTGACGACGACGACGACGGCAGTGAAACAGACGCAAAAATCAAAAGCTGGGTGCGAGCGAGATGGAGTCGAAGATAACTTTAAAAGCAGATTCACTTTTTTTATGCTTTTTTTTGCACGATTCGATTACGAAAACGGCTGTTAAGACAGAGAGTGAGAGCTTGACGCGGAGCTGCTGCTGGACGGGGACTGGATTGCACTTTGGAGCTCTCCCTTGACGTCACTTTTGTCACTGCACTGAATGGGATTCTGAATGGGATTTCGGGAGTATCCGTACAGCAGCGATCTGTGTAACCGTTTGGACTTTTGAATTTTTGTTTTTGGTTATTTGGTTTACAATTTTTTGTGGCCGTCTACGGAAACTGGTCGGCGCACACTGAAGTTAACGTTCGCTTGGGACGCTCGCCGGAGTCCAAAATTGATCCAAAGCTGACGGTGGAAACGGGATAGCAATAGCTACGCCGCCACGCGAGAGGCACAGACAGACAGAAACTGAGAGTGGTGGGGAGCTTTGGGCCAAACCGTTGATCGTGGCTGGAATGGGGCTAGACGACTCGCTGGCTTCAAGCCAAAAGCCTTGAAAGCTTTCAACGAAAGCGAAAACAGAAAATACTTGCATTTTTCGTTCCATAGTTTAAGCTTTGCCCTCTGGCTTAGCTTTTGAGCAAACGTTTTGAGTGAGACAGACTGGTCATACTCATGTTTGAGTGAAGCTGTTTGCTGCTGCTGCTTCATGATTAATGTTGTAAAGATTTGTTTTAATTAATCTTTACTGGGGAATCTTCACATGGAAAATTGTACTCCAAAACAGTTGACATTGTTTAATTGGCGAACCAAAGGAAATATTAATTAAGAAACTGTTATTAAAGCAGTGAACCCTCTGACCCCTAATCCAGGAAGAACATCCCAGTCGTGCTCCACGTCTAACGGTAGAACCAGTGATAGATTGATCTAAAAAGCTCATGGCATCAGTCAAATACATATATGTATACTGAAGAAATTGCAAATGAATGAATGTAATCAAATATATACATAATGCCTACCCACACATATCAAAAATGTTGCAATGAGAGTTCTTAATCAAGGTCCAACCTATATTTTTCTAAAGATAAAGGTCCTCCTTACAATGACCCATACAATCCACTTCCCGTTCTCTTTGGGACACCATCTAATTATGATTAATAACCAAGGTAAATCGCTAACAAAGAGCATTTTTTCTGAAATCATTTCATTCATATCAGGTTCAATGACAGAGGCGATGTGAAATTATTTATGATTACATTGATAAAAACTCATTTGACTCCCACGTAAAGATCAACGGCTAAGGCATTCAAAGTGGGCCAATTAAAAAGGCAATTGTCACACATTGAGAGATCGATGCGAAGATCACAATGAGCACAGTTCCGAGTGCATTGCAGGTACAGTGAACCCTCGACGTAAGACCTGCAGCAGGAGAAACAAATGTTTGTTTTTATTTTGGGTGAAACGGCAATGAACCAATCACTTGATCGATAACAACAATGGAGATGACTCAACGTCAACGTCTGAGCGCATGCACACAAGTTGCTCCAGTGGCTTCGTTTCTCAGCAAGCCTTATAAGAGATCACCCCTCATTTGCATGCAGAAATCCAACATTATTACATTATACGAACCCAAGCAGAACAAATATCTCCGCTGATCTTCAGCTATAACATTTCAGGCGACATTTACCGCGGAGCCAAAGATACGAATCTATTAATGAGCTGTGAATTCCGCCCCCATCAACACCACAGCACCAAAGGTTTAACAGGTTTCGTTTTGGCAATTGAACCCATTACTTTCATGCGGATTTCGTGTTAATTACTTTGCATTCATTAGCATTGTCTTAAATTCACGCTGTTCATTGGCCCAATCTCGCCTTTCTCACAGCTTGACATCACATTTCATTTGACTTTATTTCCATGACATATATACAACATTTTACATATTTTCTGGCTCTGAGCAAGTTTTTCTTCTGGGGATTCTCATGGAGAAATTGTGGAGGTGAAGTCATAAGCTCAGAACAAATGTACGGTTCAAGTGTAAGTGTAAGCTCTAAGACCGAAACATACAACGGACCGAAAAAAGCGAGTAAATTTCAATAGTCAGCGCATGTAACTGTCAATGGATGAATGAGATTTTTGGAAACTTTAGAGAAGCACCGCCCAATAAGCATTATGAAGCATTATGAACTTTGAAAATTGTCTGTCAACTATGTATGCCTACAGTTCTTCCAGATATCAGCTCCAGCTATCCACACATGTAAGAGGTCACCGGTCATTAATCCGTGTCAAGTCATGGGGTCAATGTCAATTGGCTCCCATCCATAACCCAAAGAGAGGGGAGAGCGGAAGATAACTCATTGGGCAACCGAAGCTGAGATACTCATTAGAGATCCAGCATGTTGGCCCCTGCCTCTCTCAGTGTCTTAGCGCTTAGCTCCGCCCCCAAATAATATGTAAAGTATGAGTGAAGAAGGCGTCAGACATATACAAATGAAACATACAAAGCATTAAAAGATGATACAAAAAAAACAACGAAGCCAAAAATCTGTTACAGGGCAGCCATCCAATCCAAGTTTGATATTTATGAGTGTTCCCTACTAAAACGAACAAAACAAAGAAAAGCAATACAAACTTTGCATAATTTTCAACATTTCACGCAGCGATGGTTTTTTGGGATTTAGGTTTGGAAACAAATCCGAATCCGCCAACGAATAATTTTACGAAATTGTCAAACAAAATTTTGGGTTCATTTAAATTATGTAATATGTACAAGTCGAACTAACTAAGCAAACTAATCAGGTTTTGGAACAAAATCGAGTGACTCAAAGTGAATAAAAGCAAGAATAGTGAGCAAGTGCAGCGGGACTTCGACTTCAATCAACGGAATCGTTCATAAATTTCAGAGGCAACCATGCCAAACTACAAAACAATTGCAGGAAAAATCGATTAAATTATTATTACCATTATGTTAGGTCGAAAACAGCTGGCTACTGACTGCTAAATGCCCAATGGACGTTGGTCCCAACGTCAGCATTTTGGTTAAAAAGTCGCCGCAAAATCGCGCTTACAATCTGGCCCATAAACTGGGTCTGAGCCTCTCTTTCTCTCTTTCCTTGTTTTCCACATCTGACCCCCGGTCCCCTTTTGGTTATACTTTTGGTTTGTTAGTTTTCCAAACAAATCTATAAATATGCATAAAGCGAGCTTAGAGGTAGACACACACATGGATTGGCTTGGCTCCTGGTCTTGCGAAAGCCCCAGGCATTGCTCCAGGCACTTAGCTAGATACGAGCCATAACCATTCCGCATCGGAGCTGATGGCTGAGTGTTGGCCGCAGTATTTGATTGCTCTTAGTGCAGAGCTCTAGGAAGTGACAAGAAATTATTTGATTGTTTTTGTTTTTCGATTGCATGCGCAATCATTATAAACTATTTTGAGTGGACAATCATTGAGTTCAGGTGTGGGAAATCGGGGCAGATTGGAGGATTAGGGTGGATATTGATGCTTCTGTAAACCGTTGTTGGTCAACAAATTTTTCGGATAGAATTTAAAGAGTTATATGTGTGATCATGGAGAGGGAGCTAATGAGAAGTCTAGAATATATTTCAATGCGTCGCAGTCGCAGCGAAGTCGTCTGCAGACGAAATATAAGGTAAGTGGATTCAAGAGCTAAACGGACTGCGCCAGACGACGCCGGACGAAGCCGGAATCTTGACCATGATTCATTTTTGGGACTTTACTGAAGCAGCTGCCATCGGACGAGTCTTTCCATTAATCTTCAATCAGAAAAGTTCATTGGCAGGACGGGCTGCCGTATGCTAATTGATATCTGAAACAGCGCCCCAATCTGATGATGATCGGTAGCAATTTGTTGGCCAATGGCCTATCATGTAATTACACATAAGACAACAAATCTGTGTTTGAGAAATTTGTTGAAAGCAGGGAACACACATGTCCAGTCCAGAGTGTTACAAGGCTTGGGGTCTTACATCCCTCGGACCCATATCCCTCCCCTTTCGATTATCGACTGATTAATTAAGTCAAGAGCACAAAATGCACACTCAAACAAAAGACTGAAGCAACGAACTTGAGGCGGCAGACGCGTGTGATGGCTTTTGGACAATGATTTGCACTCCGCGGAATGCTGCTGGAACAATTTTAATGCAATTAGCACACTATTAATCTTGATCAGAATCGAGTATCCAACGAACTTGGCATAACAACTGTACAGATAATGACGCAGTCACCTTTCCACCTTTATCATCGCCAAAAAACGATTTGCTTCAGTTTTGTTTATCGATCGTTGAGCTCAGCGTTGCCTTATAAACTGACCTGGAAGTGAGGCATCCTTCTCTAAGCAGAATCAGTCAACATTGAAGGAATTTATTGCGTCTAACAATTTCCTGTTGATGTATTTACATTCATTAGCAGAAAATTAATTCAAATTAAAGAACATGCTAATATATTAACAGGAAGGAAGCTTTTTAAATCGCAAAACAAACATTCATACATGTACAATGTACATATGTAGCTTCTTTCAGCATGTAGTTTTTAATGTAGAGAACTTATTTCTAGCTCTAGGGGACGAAACTCGGAATTTGGTCGAGCTTAACTAATTTAATCATCCGACTTCACCCATGTTCCCTAAGTGTCATTAACATGAAACCGAAGTTCCTTAGCCTTTTGCCTGAGTTTTCTCCGAATCGAACGCGCGGACTAAGACTCATTTAAATTTGGGTTAATCAGCGATAAAGCGCGCATTGCCATTGCCAGCATCGAAAACCGGCAAAACAGAGTGCGAAATAAATATTTACATTTAAATATCTTGTAAAAAATAACAATAATAAGAATTTGCAATTAATAAATCGGCTTTGTCTCGCACTGCTAATTGTTTTTTATTCATTTGCATGATAAAATTAATTGACGGCATTTATGCTAATCCAAAAAAAAAATGCCACAAAAAATTACTTCCTAGGCAATGTGCGGGACATGACAGATCTGAAAGAGATGACACCCCAGTCGAACATAGTTCGGTTCAGGCCGGATCACCTCAGAGCCAAAGCCACTTGAATTGAGGTTCAAGTTTTTGCAATTGACCCACAAATTAATTATGCATGCAAAATGTTGGTAATTGTAATCTATACGTAATGCTTCTCCTCCTCTATGATTGTGTTATTTCCGTCAACATTTCATTTCGCTTGTTAGATACAATATGCAGTGTATTTCAATTGCCGAAAGGTCTTTGATTTTTATGGGAACTACGGCTGATTTCTTTTTGAATACATGGTCCAAATGTCATGAGCGTTCAACTGTGGGCCAAGGCTTAGCCAAAATCTGAAAATGTCTTCAAACCTTCGAAAACTCAAACGATCCGTTTTTTATTTTTTATTTATATAAGAGTAATTACCGAATAATAATATCGGTTTCCACGTTCAATGAATAATTTTAGATGAGGGCCTTTTGTTCTGGATAAAAAGGAATAATCAAGTTTTACAGTCCGTTCTGTACCATTCGACATATCATTTACGATTTAAATGATTTATAAATATTGTTCACGTGCCTCAACCATTAATGTGCATGCATAAGTATATACACTTCAATAAACCAAATCCCAAGCGAAGAATACGTAAAACATTTGAATTGAAACCATTTTATTCGTAATACAAAGAGACAATCAAATTACAAATTAATTTTTTCCTGCATGTAAACGAATTTATGGCTAATTTATAAATTGGTTTAAAGCACTGCTGTTGATTTTTAGTACAACCAACTCATATTTTTTCCCCACATTAACGATACTCCGTCAGTGTAAAGTAAACCTTGACCACGGCCCGTTCCTGGCTATCGAAACTGAACGTAATGAAAAGGGCATAATCCCCAGATGGCAGGGGCAGCATTTCCAGGGCCTTGACCGGGAAACGAAAGTGTTCCAGAATAATTTCTGGCTGCAGATAGTCCATGCGACATAGTGTTAAGGTAGAATGAATTACGATATAGTGAGGATATGACTGAATTTAAAAAACTTACAGGAAGGGGGCACCGGTTCAAATTGGTTCGATTGGTGAAACTGTTAAAAATTATGTTGACAAAGGGGTGATTCCGCTTCTCCAGATACTCGCACACGTCAGGCTGGCAGATATTGTACAAGAATGGCTTATAGCCACTGGCTCGCTTCAGCAACTGTACTCGCATCTGTAGAAAAAATGTATATTGCAATTTTTTTGTTTTGCTCATAGATCAAGTGAGGCTTTGTTATGTCAGATATATGTATCTACATAATACACATACTCGTACATACGAGAATATCTAAATAATTTTGTATTCGATTCCGAAACGTCGATGTTGAAAATACAAAGCAAATAACACTTCAAAATTATTCAACAAATTTTGAATTCAATAATTTTTCTAAATTTGTTTTACCCCTAAAAACCCGTAAGCAACGCGAGATGTGTCTCTTCAGCTGTGTAGCGCGCGTTCTCTTTTACATCTGCGGGACCATTTTGCCGGCCTATCACACATTCAAGGCTTTGTCGAATGGTATGGAAATGGACTTCGCGCCCTGGGCCAAGTATTGGATTGTGTATGCCTTCCTCGCAACCTTCGAGGTGCTGGCCGATATGCTTATTTCGTGGGTTCCATTGTATGCCATCACCAAAATGACGTTGATATTTTGGATTGTTCTCACGGCGCCATCTTCCAATGTGTGGATTTTTAATTCGATCCTGGGTCCACTACTCTTCAAGCGTCAGAAGCAGATCGATCACTTCTTGCAACGGGGCAAGCAGCAGATGCTGAACGAGGTCTACAGGTGGGGAGTGCAGATTATCAAGCAAAGCCGTGACGCCGTGCTTCCCATTTTCTTTCGCATGCTGAAAAAACCCGGTGATTCCATTCAGAGGTCGCAAGAATCCAATGTTGCAGACGGTTTCGAGGAATACGAATTAACTGATCATTTTTCTGATGACCGGGAATCCGTCCCCAATATACATCCTGACGCTGAATCGGAAGATTCAAGTCAGCCGACTTTATCGGCAGCCATGACCCACATACCGTCTAAGAATTCATCCAGCGAGGTGGGCCTGAAAACTGGCTTGCCTATGGAATCGTCCGGGACCTTTCCTAATCGCGGCCATCGCAAGCGTTGGTCTTCTACATTGTGTTCCTCTAACGCGAAGAACAAGGCAAACATCGATGAAATTGAAGATGGACCTGAAATGGCAGCCCCGAATCTCAAGGATGAAGTTAACGATGAAACAGAGGATCTGCTAGCCAAGTCACGAAAGGAAGGCAATGGTCGCACCTTCCGTCAATTCATAAATCGTCGAGGCAGTAGATTCTAATCAGCTCACACCTTCTACGCTATTCAAGAAATTTACCTAGGGTGAGCATACTAAATTGTATACTATATAATATTTGGGTATAACTAAGCACGGAATTCATACATATGTATATGACCGCTATTGGGGTCACATCAATTGTGGATGCCGTTGAATACCTTTAATTGTCCATTTCCGCACTGCGTTCAATCGTTATACGCAATTATTTCAGATCAAATCGTCGTTTTCAAAATATGCGGTACTCATTCAACCAAAACAAAAAAAAATCAACTACACAGAAATATACAAAGTGAATCAAAAGTTAATATTAAACTCACCGAAACTCGACGCTTTGGCCAATGCAATACCTTGGCGATCAGGCTCATCTCAACCACATCCCTTTTTACGGCATAGAGACGACACCGCGAAAAGTTTGCGAACATTTCATCAACAGCAAAACACTGGACATTGGTGAATTTGGCAATACCACGGACCTGAGAAGAGCACAGCCGTTATTTGAAATATAGCCAGAGATGAGGAGGGCTCCAAACTTGCCTGGATAATGTGCCAAAGACCAATCCAAATAAAGAGGTGGCCCCACAATGTGGCCATAACCGAAAACAAAGAAATACGCTTTATGACTGAACCAATCAGTCATCAAAAGCGAATGTGGTGTGCCATCAAATACCAATTCATGCGAGAAATAAAGCTGATAAAAATCAATCATTATGGGCAATTATTAATACCATACCAAATAATTACTTGAGCTTTGTTCTGCTCTTCAAGTTTTAATTAAACAAAAACATATTTTTTAGGGAGTACTTAACAACTAGATTTGTGTGGCGGTGTGACTGAATTATGGAATAGTGTTTAATGACTGGGAGCCTAATCACTGCCCTCATCTCCCTCCTCATCGTTGTCTTCGCTGGCATTGGTTGCGTCATCGCTATCGTCCCCTTCGCTTTCGCTTTTCTTTGAGTTCTTATCCTTGTCATCAGGGGCAGACTTGCCTTTCTTTTTTGGGATTTCCTTGTCCTTTTCTTGATCGTCGCTGGTGGATTCATCATCAGAGATGTATTCCTTGCTCTTGAAGCCACTGCCAGATGTATTTGCTTTCTTTGATGGCGATGGTTCTGATTTGCGTTTCTTGGTTGCCTTGCTGGAGCCGCCTTTGTCTTCCTCACTGCCCCCGCCCGCTCCGGACTTGTAGTTGCGCATCTCTTCCTGATAGCGAAGCTTATCCTTGTTAGCGGCATCTTCCCACTTGGACTTGTCCTTCAGTTCCTTCCACATTTCGCCGCCTTTTTTGGCTATCTCGGTGACTTTGATGCCCGGATTTTCGCGCTTAATGCTTTCACGAGTATCATTAAGCCACAACATGAAGGCGGAAGTGCCCCGTTTGGGCTTTCCGGTATCCTTCTTCTTGGTGGGTTTTTTCTGGGGAATAGAAAAATATGTAATACAGTTTGCATTAAGATGTGATGTTTTTCTACCGTTTTTTCCTTCTCCTTATGTTTCTTCTCCTTTTTCTCGCTCTTCTTTTCCTTGTGCTTCTTTTTGGGCGAACCATCAGTGTCGCCCTCTCCACCGCCGCCACTAGCATCACTGTCGTCGTCCGAATCACCCTCCACATTGCTGTCGTACTCCTCGGCCACGTCTGATTCGTTCTCGTTGGGTTTGAAGTCCTCATCGGTAGACTCTTCATCGGAATCATCGCCGTCATCATCGTCCTCCTCCTTTTCTCTGGCCTCGGCCTTGAGGCGAGCCAGGTAAGCATCTGGCTCGTTCTCATTGTCAGAATCTCCAAAGTCTACATCTTTGTAGCCACTCTTGTCCTTGCCCATATTGCTTACATGCAACTTCTTCTGTGTGATGAAGTCAAAGAGCTTGGCATACTCTTCCTTCTCAATGGACGAGAATATGTGCACGGTTGCGTTTTTCAGGGTGACTTCGAAGTCGAAGGAACGTGTAGATCCGCCACTACGAGCAAAATTCACTGAGGTAATCTCCTCAAAGCGGATGTGAAGGGGCGGCTTGTGAATGTAGATGAAGCCACGCTCAAGGGGATACAAGTAACCAGCGGCAGCCTTGAAGGAGCAGCCCACAGCTGCCGTTCCCGAGTGGCCTATGAAGTTACCCGGCCCGGTAATCTTGCGGCCAATGAGCACCTTCATCACCTTGCCCATCACCTCGTACACTGGCCCCGACAACTCCTTCTCCAGCTTTCCCTCGTATTTGTCTCGCAGCTCGGCCTCCGAGAATGGGAGTTCAATGGTGGTCTCCTCGTCGGGTGCGAATAGCAACACCAAATAATGGTACCGCGTCTGTCCTTGCTTGATGGGAGGATCCAGTGAGAGCACGAAGAACATTTGCCGGCTGTCCTTGTGTGGCAGCATGAACAGGCGCAGCACCGAGTCCATGGGTATCTTATAGTCAAACGTCTTGCCATGCAGCTGGAAGAAGGTCGAAAAGATCTTGATGTCGTAGCGACCGCGTGGTGTTAGAATCTGAATCTCTCTGAAGATGGCAATGGACTCGCCAGACGCTGAGATGACCGAGGCCTTGCTCATCACATTCTGATGGAATTTCTCCACTGGATCATCATCCGCAGATTCCACGGCTGGAATGTGAAACCTCATCTCGAGGAGACCGACCGGGGCGTCGTCGTTTTGGTGGTATTCCAAAGTTACCTCATTCTTGCCAGTCACACACTGAGACACATGAGAGAGCGGCACTTCAAATATGGTCTTCGAGTCCTTATCGAAGCTCAGAACGGAGCCCATGAATCGAGCCGTGCCCCAGTTCCAGCCTTTGACACACATCTCCTTCTCCACCATCTCCTGCGAATAGGCATCCTTTATGAATTTGCCTAACTTATCGTGCTCGCTGTCCCGAAAGCCGGTGAAGCGATGCAGCGCCCCGCTCTTGGTAAACACTCGCAGTCCCCAGGTGCCCACAAATTTTTGAGAATTAATTAGATCAATATCATCCACCGAAATCTGCTCCACCTTGCCCGTCTTGGTATTTTTGAAGATAATATTCTGGTCGGTAAGCTTAAGACGACCAGATGACTACCGGTGAGGAAAAACAAGTCAGACGAAATGTGCGAAAAATTGCATTTCTGAGACTCACCAGAACGCCGCGGACTTCGGCATTTATGTCGTTATACTCCAAGGAATCCGCCATTGTTCGATTTGCCACTGTTCGAAGAACTCAAAAATAACAAATAAATTACACCACCAGGGGAAATTATTTAGAATTATTGACAAATGTAGCACGAGCGAACACCGCCGCCAACAAAAAACAACACTACTACGCGCCCAATTTTAGGTTAGACGACGCTATCAAGCGAACTAGTTCGAAGCAGTGATGCCGGAACATGCTTGTTGCATATAAAATTTTCGCACATATCATATGGATTCATTGTATGTAATTAATTATACAATTAAAATTGATCACATAGGATAAATATATTAGAAAGTCTACAATACAATCCCAGGAAAACTATTCCACATAAATTTTGAACAGTTCATGCTAGTTCAATATCGCCAGCTCTATAGTTCAAGTTCCATCGAGTGTGAGCTGAACTGCTGAACTGAATTGCATACATAGTATTATCGATAGTTTCTACATATTTTACCTTTCACATCACTACTGTTTACCTCAGCGCCGCGCCGCTTTATAGAAAACAAAAAAAAACAAAACAATTAGGCGAAAAACTAAGCACCAGGAGCGTTCTCAGCCATGCAACGTGGTAAAATCTCCTTTGGGAAAATCCAATTAAACATCAAACAATCGCCGGACGGGCCAAATGCAGATGAGAATGAAGTGGTGAAAAAATCTGGCAGCAGTGAAGGAGGCGGCTTCAAGAAAATGGACAAACATCAAATGATTCGACAAATCGAAGATGTCGCGGAAGATTTGGAGAGCCAGCACTTGAAGGAAGTGATGGGCATCAGCGGGTTTGGACGCAAGGCAGCCCAAGTGTTTGACATTAATGAGCAGATAGCCAAGGCGAAGATCACACGTCCCGGTGTAGACAAAAAGAGAGAGGTGCCTGAGCAGGAGGAGGAGCAAGACGTGATCGGTCCATTGCCACCGGCAGCAGTCGAAGATACTGAAAGAGCCAGCAAGGATGAGGCCACCAATAAGGAGGAAGACTCCGATGACGACTCCTCCTGTGATGAGGATTCCGATGATGAGCAAAGCCTCTCCAAACGCATACCCTATACACACGAGGTCCAAATGCAGCATGGCTCACGGGCTGTCTTGGCCCTGGCAGGCGATCCTTCCGGTGCCCGCTTGGTATCCGGCTCCATCGACTACGATATGTGCTTTTGGGACTTTGTTGGTATGGACTCAAGCATGCGGAGCTTCCGGCAACTACAGCCATGCGAGAATCATCCGATTCGAGCCCTACAATACTCAGTGACCGGGGAGATGATCTTGGTCATTTCTGGCAATGCTCAGGCCAAGGTATTGGATCGCGATGGGTTTGAGAAGCTAGAGTGTTGCAAGGGCGATCAATACATATCAGACATGTCCCGCACAAAGGGCCATGTGGCGCAGCTGACCTCCGGCTGCTGGCATCCCTTTAATCGGGAGCAGTTCCTCACGGCTGCTCTAGATGGAACTCTGCGCATTTGGCAGGGCTTGAAGGCCAAAGAACAAGTTCAGGTTATCAAAACGAGGGCAATGGGAGGCCTGCGGACCAACGCCTCGTCCTGCAACTTCAATAGAGATGCCACTCTGATAGCAGCTGGTTGCGTGGACGGCTCCATTCAGACCTGGGATACACGCAAAATGTTTGTCAACACAACCCACTGCGTTAGAGGTGCCCACCAGAAGGGCTCGGAGATAACCTCTATAGTTTTTTCATACATGGGCCAGCAGTTGGCCACCAGGAGCAACGACGAGACCATGAAGTTGTGGGATCTGCGGCAATTCAAACAGCCCCTGCACACTTGGAGCAATCTGTATTCTCGCTACGACACCACTGATTGTTGTTTTAGTCCAGACGATCGGGTGTTGGTCACTGGCGAGTCCCTCCCGAAGGATCAGGCCGAAGCTAATCTCTATTTCTACAGCACCAAAACCTTCCAGGAAGTTCAACGCATTCCCGTGTCGAATTCGCATGTGGTCAAGACGCTCTGGCATCCGAAACTAAACCAGCTGTTTGTGAGCTGTGGAAACGGCACTATTAAGTGCCTGTACGACGAGAAACGCAGCATACGGGGCGCCACTTTGTGCGTGGTCAAGACCCACCGCAAGCGGCAGCAGATGGAGATGGTGGGTGTTTCGCAGATCATCACTCCTCACGCTCTGCCGCTGTTCCGACAGGAGAAATCCCGGTCCTCCCGCAAGAAGATGGAGAAGGCCCGTATGGATCCTGTAAAGTCGAAACGTCCGGACTTGCCCATCACCAGCGGGCAGGGTGGTCGTGTGGCCAGCTCCGGCGGTACACTCTCGTCCTATGTCATTCGCAATCTCGGCCTGAGCAAGCGAGTGGATGATGATCAGGATCCTAGGGAGGCCATACTCAAGTACGCCAAGGACGCGGCTGAAAATCCATATTGGATAGCGCCTGCTTATAAAGAGACTCAGCCCAAGGCCATATTCTCGGAAAAACTGCCCACAGACACAGACGAGCCGTCCACAAAGAAGCCCAAGACGGAGGCGGACAATTAATTAGTTAGCAGATATGCACTAAGTGATGTAAAT